TTTGGTCCACCTTTTCACCAACAGAGTCTCAGTCATACCATACCGGTCATACCGTACCCTCATACTGCAACATACTGCATACCGTAACATACCTACAAAATTACAGACTAACACAATGATCCTATGGTGGGGCCTATGAGTCTATCATAGTCTATGACAGTCTATGACTCTATAGTCTATGACACCTATGCCATGTGTGATTTTATGGTGAGTGATCTAAATCTAATCCAAGCGATCTATGAATGCATGGAGGCTCAGGCTCACTGAATCATAGCCTTTAGCTCTGCAGGGCCCCGCTGCAGGAATCGAAGGCGGGCATGCTGCAGCTGAATGAAGATTAAACATCTGAGAATTGAATGTGAAATAAACAAAAATGCTATATTTATATGCTGCCAATTGGAAACAATATTTGGTCAAGTGAATTCAACGCTGCTCCAGGCTCCACGTTTAATGCTGTGAGTCGAGTGCAAAAAGAAAGAGAGTCTACGCTGGAAAGACTACTGGAGACGTTGACACGCAGCCCGCAGCCCACCTTGTATTTCGCATCCTCTCCCTCGAGCTGGGGGGAAAACTCTTTCAGAATGCCGGCCACCTGAGCTCGTTCTGCACTCTCGTTTAGAGATTCATCTAATTGCATCCAGAATCCAGCATATTAATGCCAATGAGAAGTCTGTGATCGGCCATAGAGATGTGATGACGACTGATGTGAGGATGTGACACAAGACACAGTATCAGTATAATAATCATTAATTTCATAATGCATACAGAGTATACAGTATACAGTATCAGTATAACAGTATAACTTATAACGTACGTATACCGTATACTGTACTAGACTAGTACTACTACTACTGTACTACTATTGCTGACCTGTTCAACTTCTGCACCTGGTAGCCGCAACAAATTTTGCATACTCAGACTCAGACTTTTTTGCATGTAGCTTACAGCTGTTTGTCTCATGTCATGTTGGTAGTAAAGTATAGTATGTGAGACAGTGAGACGGCTCTGGCTCTGATTTACATGTTGTATTATATGCTGCTGCGTGCTGTAAATGCTGTATGTCTTAATGTTGTATGTATGTTGTATGTGTATGTGTATTTCACGTCAGTATGTACGTCTTCTAGATATGCTCACTCATCCCCTGTGACTCTGTGACAGTGTGCCTTTACATGCCTCAAAGAGACCTCCTCGATCACCACGGTCTTGGGGTTGAGCTTCCTCACTTTGCGCAAGCAGGCTCGCACAACCTCGAACCCCTTCCTCAGATGGCCAAGGCTGAAATCAAAATGACCCAAATTTGCCAATTTTGAACTTCAAACAACTCACTTGTCACATGACAAGAAGTCAGTCAGTCAGTTAATTATCCTGAATCCTGAATCATCCTTGACTCATTTGTATCTGTGTGTATGTTCACGTTTGTTGGCGTGCCACTGTCAACTAGTTTACAGTTTTTCTCAGCTTTTACTGGAGTCCACACACACACTTGAACAAGTTGCACACTCAAACAGCAGACAAGAATTTGTTTGCTCAAATCAGCAAATGATGTCTCAACAATCTCAGCCAGACCCTTGAGTGCAAACTGGCCACTCTTGGAAGGGGTTGTAAGACTTCTGCCTGGTCCGAGAATTCAAAACTGAGAACAATGGGCAGGGGATGCCCATGAGAGCCAAATCTGCACCCTGGCACTCCTTGGTGAAGCAGGCTGCAACTAGTTGCAACTTGGACAAGTACAAAGAGCATTGCCGCGGACTACTGAGCAGCATGGTCATGCCATGTCACGCCTTGTGCATTTTTCCTACGTGTAGTCACATTCGCAAGCCTGCAGCCTCCAGCTTAAAGTAGCTGCAGCTAGTGGTGATCAACCAAAGCAGTAATTTATGTTCTGGAAAAGGGGCTGGGGCCAAGGATCTTCAACATTTGGTGTGTGAGCTTTGTTGCAGATGTGGCAGAAATCCTCCTTGATGACGTCGCTGTAGAAATGATCCCCTCAGTCAGCCAAACTATGAATCATGCACTGCACGTGTCAGTCTGGTTTGGTCCTCAAGGCAAAGTGCGAAACTGACTCTGACCACCTGACTACCAAAGCTAATAAATGATGGTAGCCACTGAGTGCGTTAGTGACACACTGACTTGATTTTAAAGCCATCAGGAACCCAGAAAATCCTAGCAGCTGGCACTCACAGTTTGGTACATAAATGCTTTGTCATGTCATGTCATTCTACAGTGACTGCTGGCCCACTGGCTGCATGCTAGAGGCAAGCAAAGTTACGCAAGCACCACTGTCTGCTCTTGGCATGGATCTCTGAGCTGTGAAGAAGGTTGATCTCCAGGTTGGTGAACTCCGCGATATGCTTCCTGGGCGCGGCATAAAAGGTTTGAAACACCAAGAGTCTCATGATCTAAAGTACTTTGCAAGGCTACAGCTACAACTGCTACGCTATGACCATGGCTATGACTGCTTTGGCCCATGGCTATGTCATTTCTGGTCTTTGCATGCCGGATTTGCCCAAAGTTGGACTCATTCCACATTCCACATTCCTGTCAACATCACCATGGACCATGGGCACAACTTCACAACCCAAGGCTCATCAGGTATCCGAGGATACCCGCCCCTTCGCAAGCTCCCCATACTGAGATCCTTGCAAGCGGACTCCCAAATTGAAATGGAACCACAGAATTGTCCTGGTCCTGTACAGCCTACTGTACGGCTATAGGCTATAAGCTAGGCTATGCAGAATATGTATTATATAAAACTATATTGCAAGTCAAGTCAGTCCCTACATTGAGACATGACCTGCGCATAAAGACTTGACTGACTTGGTTTGTATGAATGGACGGGCAAATCGGTTGCATCGGAAAGAAACATTCTGAATGCTGCCACAGGGCTTCTGCTTGACAAAATCGGTCGCTGCCACGCCAACCTCTTGAAAATACCTCATTGACTCATTGACTCATTGCTGCAATGCCACACTGACACAAACATCTGAGTCAAGTCATGTACAGTTCAGGTCTAAGACAGCACTGTTGGGCCGGCCTTATGCCCTAACAATTCAGCCTGAAGCCTGGCTGCTTGGGGCACCAGATTCTGGGAAAGAGAGAGAACATGAAGTCCGGTAGTATGGTGTTCCCCTCCCCGGCCAGGTAGGCCTGGGTTGGGCAACGGCAGTTCAGATCTATTCACGCTGCTGCATGTCACCATGACCATCACTTACTATCACATCACTGTTCAATCTGTGATCTGCGCATAGCTTATTGTGTCCCCCCAGCGTGCACACACACAACACCTGACCATGGTTTCAGCCGTGCTTCCTTAAATCTCCCTGAGATAGATCCGGACCATCCAGAATCAGAATTGGATTCAGAGTCAGAGCCAGAAAAGGCGTGCTCATTCCCGCTTGTGAAATGTTCCTCAGGCTCAGATTCCTCAGTTAAGAGCCAGGCTGCCAGGCTAGATGACTAGATTTGCTGAAACTACAGTGGAAAGACTTGGACCATCATGGAATCATGGACACCTTTGATCATGGTCTAATGGTTTCGGTCTAATTGACTGTCAAGAATCCTGGGCATCCTGGGTGTGGTCACCATCGTCAGAGTCTATGTCAGAGCTGCTGCTGCAAATGGTCACACGACGCTTCATCATTGCTCGGTCCATTCCCACCCAGCCCTACCCTGATGAGCCTGTGCCTGCAACGTTTTGAAGCAGGCAATCTGTCAAAACAGTCCTTCTGAGACATGCAAACAATTGCCGCAATTTCTATGAATGATGGCTGTAGGACTCAACTGCCCAAAAGTAGTAGCGGTCCGCTCCAAATCATCACTGGTTTGGCAAGCCCCACATGTGGGACTAGGCTATGCAGATAATGCAGAAGGTTGTAAGTTGTAAGTTGAAAGTTGTAGTCGTTGTAAAACTATATTATATATACCCCTTGTGCCAGGAGGGCCCAGGGCCCACTCCTATAACATCAACTTGGGCATGGGTTTGGGCAGGGTTTGGTACTAAAAGAAGCTTCCCAGGCTCATCCACACACATTCTGTTACTTGGTTCTGTCCCAGACTGACCTGCTGGACAGGATCAAGCCTTTAAAGAGGCCAATGTTCGAAATAAAGAAGAAACCATTGACGTGAACAAAACACAACATACATGGCACACATAAATACAACGTACTTTGGCGAAAGATAAAACGCAGGAAGGCGAAAGTTTGGCGAAAGTAATTTTTTTGGCGAAAATGACGGATCCCTGATAAAGGAATTTAGATCAATTCCCATATATATAATAAGGTTTGCAGCATCAGCCGGGCAAGGATGTTGACTCTATTTTTTGGCTTATTGAGGTGATGATGTATATCATTGTTCATTGTGGGTTCATTTTTCTGAGGGGATTTGTTCTATAGTGCTTGGATGGTTGGGCAGGCCGAAGGTCAGCGGGCGGAAGCTTGAGGAGAAACCCGTCGGGAAGTGAAGTGGTTGCTGGTTCTTCGTGATTCCTCCAGTTCTTTGAGCCCAGCTAACTTCGGCTGACAGACACGACATCGCTGGGACTACCATGACGGACTGACGAGTGGCACGGCCAGGGGTGGTAGACCTGCAGGGGTCAATCCCAGACACTCCATGTATGCCATATATGCCTACATTGGAGTAGGTACATATATATGGAGTGTTTGGGAATGGAATAGGCAGTCCTATGGCAGTCCCGTTGTGTTTGGGCCTCTTTCTCTACCTGATCTCCCGAACCTGCCACACGTTTCCAACGTTACTCGGTCTTTGATACGGAGTCGACGTACTGACCACCATGGGTCCTCTTGGAGCACTTGGAGAACAACACTTCACGTGCTACTTCGTCGCTCACAGCTCATGACCAAAGTCTTCGGAGAGTCCCTGGAACACACGCGCCCATCACGACGCTGAACTCTGCTCGATGCTCTCAAAAGCCCGAGCCCAGCCACCGGCCGCCGTCCCAGCACACGGCCGCTCCGCCGTGCCCTTCACACTTCGTGGCCGAGGGATCTTGGAGGACACCACGGCGGCCCTGCAGAAAGCCACTCCCGAGGACCTCCGACGGCAGCTGAAAGTGGTCTTCGAAGGCCCGGGGCCGCCGTGGTCCGAGGGTCGGGCGGGGCGGGACCGGGGCCGGTGAAGGCGAGACCAGACGAATCACTCCGAAGGAACGCTGACTCTACCGGCTTCCTGGCCAACCATGGTTTTAATGGCCTGACTGCCGAACCACCAGCTGTTTTAAGGACTTTACACTACGCAACCAGGTCAACCGAACTCTTTGAATGGTCGAACGGAAGCCTAGGGTCTACTGAACTCTCATGAAATCTCAAGGTTGAACATTTGCGGGACAATGAAGGCTACCAATTTGACCACTGGTGCCTTGACCTGGTCCCTAAGGCGGTTCGCAGAGGCATAGCAGACCTGACCCACCAAAATAGAAGTCCAATCCATCGTTCGCTTATGGTTTCCTTCCCCCCAAAAAAAGGATCGAAACGCATGGAACTGCCCCCACTTCGTCATACTTCTTTCATCAAACGAAACCCTCCTCCTCCACTTCGCCTCGCATTCCATCCAAATATCTCCCAGTCTCGCTCGCCCCAAAGAGAAAAAGATTTGCTGGAACCCTCCGCAGACACCCTCTCGCCTCGCGCGGACACCCTCCCTCGCAACCCGCGGAGTGTCGAGGCGAGCAGGGGGTCGACGAGGGCGGCTTGGCGCGGGAGTTCTTTCGACTCTTGAGCGCTCACGTCTTTACCGTGGAGGGCGGCCCCTCGGTGGGAACGGCGCCAAGCACCTCTGGGAATGAGGTCGGCATCACGTTGAGGACCCAGAGGTCCCACTAAAGATCCCTAAAGATCCAAGTACCTCCTCAAAAGGTACTTGGACCCTCCAAACCCACCCCAAACACTTCTCAAGAGGGTACTTGGATCCTTAGGGGATGTATTGGACACCTTGCCACTGTTTGGTTGAGGACCCCCAAAAAGGCAGGGCGGTGCAGCGTTCCGGGAGTGGTGGAGGGAGGGAGTTGGGAGGATCAGGAAGGCGTGAAAACATAATTATGAGCAAGGGCTCACGTTGGCTGGACATCAAAGACTGCGACATGAATGTTGCAAAGGCTTCATGTAGCAAAATGCGGCTTCTTGGTCTTCCAAAGATCACATCCTGGACACGCACAGAAAGAACAAACAGAAACAACATGTCGCAGTGGTTCTGCCTGATCGCTAACTCATGGACCATCAACCGTCGCCAAGGGTGAGGCCTATCGGCCTATCCAATCTTCCATGCTGGCCGATGACCTGAAGACACTCCCTGAAATAGAATGGCCGATCAGTTGCAAAAGGTGACTATAGGGTCAATGTAGGCAGGCATCATGCATTCCAGTCCTGGGTTGTGTTTGGGTGTCACACTCCGATGGATGAAACATGGCCGCTTTGATGGCCGTCTTCCTCCACCGCATGGTGTTCCCATACTTATATTACAAGGAGTGTTCGAAAGCACCGGGTGCCGCCCTGCGAGGTTTGTTTGACCCCTTGGTGGCGCAGAATGCCCGGGTGCTTTGGTTCAACTCGGCCTCAGCGCCTTGGCAGCGAATAACTCCAACACCATGATTGGCTCATAGGCTGGTTCCCAGGTTGGGCTATCCTGATTTCAAGGGTTCAACGCCCTGAAAAGGAGAAGGTTGGCTACCTGACTGCATCATTGAATGAAGCTTTCCCCACAAGTATGATCCCTGAAGACCCTTTTATATATACCCCCAAATAGACATAGACATGTAGCACTCCTCACTCAAGAATGCATTGGAAAGCGTATCCAGCAATTTGGGGACCACAACAAACGCCAAAGGTTGAGTCGATCCTTTTCCAAACAAAAGCTTGCCCAGAGAAGTTGGCCGGCACTCCAGCACGGAAAGGGGTAGTGATTCGGGAAGGAACATGCCCAGATTGAATAGCCATATTGGGTCATGTTTGTGGGGCAAATGTTGAAAGTATAATGTAACTAGTCCAGTCCCATGGATGGTCTGGGATGCGTAGTCAGGGGTGTCTAGAAACATCTAAACACCACCCTTGCAATTTGACATGGCGCTGGCTGAAGGTTCTTGTTTTTTTTCAGACTTGCTAAATGCTAAGGTGTTTGATTCAGAAAAAGCGGTGCTGTAGGCCGTACGCCACAGAGGAAGCCCAGTGAGTACCACCAAATTGGACTCCTGGAAGAAACGATGTACATGCCAACAAAGTCAGTCATGTTCCATTGTACCGGAGATGCGTGAGCAGTGCATAAAACACAGACATTCACTTCTTACAGACTTTGGACCACACATGATGGCCTCCCCCTCAAAAGCATTCTACGCCAAGGTGCCATCACATGATTTGTACTTTGGCTTGAGCGTACCGCCACAAAACATGACAAATCAGCAGATCTGAGTGACTTGCAGGATTCTTACCTAAGCCTATCAGAACCTGTATATACCTTAGCATAGACAGAAAAGGGTTTGGATTGAGTTCCAGATGGTGCTCATTCGACCTGTTCCTAAACTAACTAAACTAACAGATCTGAATCTTCAGCCTTCTCCGTTCACCTTCCCACATTTCAACAGCGCTTGTTCAACAGCGGTAGTTTTTCAGCGACCTGATTTGGGGACTGGGGCTGCCTGCTTTTGCGGTTGCTCCGCTGCCGTGAACGCCGCTGCCGTCACTTGCGGTTCGTGGCTTGCTGCCACCAAGCGCCTGTTTGTTTGCAATGGATGATGAGATCCCAAGCGAGCACGTCAAGACAGAGACTCTTGGATGAGAGATGATGTAGAATGGTTTGGTGAGCTCTAATGGATGATGAATCGAATGGATGATGAGCGGAGATGGTTTGTTTAAACCTTTAGAATCTTTAGATCTTTTCGATTTTCGGTGCGCATCTCATCGCCAAGCCAGGCGACCCTTGACCGAGGACATTCGATGAGAATTTGGAAGTAATTTTATAGCCAGGCTCCAAGTACCAGGTATGACTGCACCCTCTAAACCAACAACCCCACGAGCCCTCTACCTCAGATACGGCACGATAGGTCATGGAGATGAATCTCCAGCCAACCACTGCCCTCTCTCCAGGGGGATCGGGGATCGCGGCTGCGCGGAGCGAGCTGATTCGTCGCTCTTCGCCGCTGTTCGGCTCGAAGACATGGACCCTACACCGAACGCGTCGTAACCTCCGAAACGAAGGTATTTGAACCTGCCAAACCCACCCCAAACACCTCAGAAGGTACTTGGAGGCCTAGGGGGAAGAATGGATCACTTCTCAGGTTTCGGGGGTATCCAGTGAGAGGATGTGACTCAGGCACCCCGACTTCCGTTCGTTCAGCACCCCGCCATGGAACTGCGAAGGTTTTTTCGGAAGGCCCAGGTGGCAAGTCCTCGATGTGGGAGGCCGAAAGAGCAGGGCGTGTGTTCCATGTGTCCCACGTGCTCTATGAATTTGCTGTTCAATTCTCCCAACATCTTCAGCTCCTCATTTTTTTAAAAAAGGCTTTGCATCAAACGAGCGCAATGAGGTGTAGTACTGTACTGTAGTACTTAGAACTCAGTGAACTCAGTTCAAATGCTAGTTTGGCAAAGGGTAGGGAGATTTGGATTCTTTGATGTTCTGATCCAGATATGATATGCATAATTTCTTCAGGCGGCTCCTTCCAGTAAGTCCACAGAAAAACACCAGCCATCACCAGCCCTTTCTTTCCAACACCGACTGTCATCGGCAAAGGATATCATCACCAGACTCACCTGCCACGGCGAAGGCCTGTTGGGGAGGAAGAAAGGCTTGAAAAGGCTTTGAGAGGACTGACTGGGGCATGAGATCCAAAAAAAGGGACGAATCATATACCCTAGGGATCCAAGTACCTTCTCAGAAGGTGATTGGAGACACTGTCATGTAGGTTTGGAGTGTCCAAGTACCTTCTGAGAAGGTACGACTGGATCCCTAGGGATAATACATAGACCAGCCATTTGGAGGCTTTTCGCCTGCGGGGGCGCACGGGTGGCTGGGTTGGCAAACGGACCACCCTGTGGGCCCCTCAACGCTGCAGCGACCATGCAGCTGACGTGAAAACGGCCGGATCAAAGGAATCCAATCGATGCAAGCCCTTCACAACAAGATCAACACTGCACACAAGCGTCACCATTTCCAAATGATGATATGATATCCAATGAAGGGTAGAATTTGGAAACTAACCGCCATCACTTGCCCATGGCCACTTGCCCTTCAAATTGGGCCAAACCTTTTGCTACGATACGAACTGCCTTTAAGAACCAGTTGTCCCAAGTTCCAATTACACTCTCTGAAATAATCATGGAAGTAGAAAACCACTTACTTGTTTCATGGTCATCCAAAAGCCATGCCATCCATTCCCATTATTGTTCCAGGGAGTGTATATGTACCCAGAATTCCTTTTAGCCAAATTTTCCTGCAAGACTCACCGCCTCTCTTCCACAAAGACATAATTTAGTCTTAGATACTCTTGAGAATTGATCATGAAGAGATTTAAGTTTTGCGGATCTGGGATCCGCAAACGTGTAGACTCTTGTAAGACATTGATAGACATTGCAAGACCTCTTTATTTGAGAAAATCCACCCTCTCCGACCCTCCCAATTCTGCAACTCCATCTCTCTTTACGATTCTATGTGTACTATGTACTATATACCACATTCTTCCACCCACTTCCGCACCACCCTCCCTTAGGATCCGCACCGGATCCTCCAACCCCCACGGAAGCCTCTCACCTCACAAGAGCCTGCGCATCAGGCGTTCGCGAAGCGCTTCCAAGAGCTCCGGGTGCTTCGCCCGGAGCTGCTGCGCACCACACGCGCCTCCAAGGCCTTGGACCATTGCGGCAGCGCACTGCGAGTCGACTGCATCGAGGATTTGTGGCTCGATGGGACCCAGCGGGGCGAGGTGTTTGAGCTTCCAGAGGTTGAAAGTAGTTGGTTGGGGTATTAGGTGGGCAGTGCTGGAAGTTCACGTTTCAGAAATGTTTGCTGGAAAGGTGGGAGACTGGATGGTATGAGTATAAGACCTTTCTTGGGATTGGATGTTTTGCAATGATGTAAGAGATGGACTGGTTCTTTGCTGTGAACATGGCCTGCTACGTCGTGCATCGATTCCTTGGTGGATTTAAGGGAAGGAGAAAGGTTGCTGGATGTTGTGGATGGGAAGATGCTGGTTTTGATGTTTGTTTTTGCTTAGTAAGGCGGTGAGGCGTTTCCTGATTCCAGGGGCGACGCAAAAGGAGGCAGGGCCTTGTTAATAAGTCCTTTGTGGCCGTGGTACTTGGATTTCTGGGAGGCAACAAATATCAAAAAATAACAGAACTGCTTCGGAGCAAGAAGCTACTGGGAGCAAAGGGCATCGCTACTAGGAGCAAGGACGCTACGAACGGGGCTCCTGGCATCGCTACCGCTACTGGAAACAATAAAGCTTCCAACCATAGTTCCTGACAGCCGGAAGTGCAACTGCTTGGCCAAAAGGATCCTCATGATTTTCCATGGCACCGGGCTTCCCGTGAGATCAACCAGGGCTTCTTCTAAAAGGGTGTCCATGAGCTTTCTGGAGAGGTCGGTCATAAACCATCGAGGTCGGTGGGTCCTGGAGCACCTGGCATTGCCGGTTCAAGTAAGCTGGCTATGCAAGGAAGTCATGGCTATCGCCGACTGAGGGTTCCTCCACTCTGAGGTATTGGAAGAGCTCGATGAGCTCGAGCATCTCTACCTTTTGGTCTCATTCCTGGCACGGAGACCACCGGAAGAAGATCTTGACACTGCTGGTCCTCTACAATGGCAGGGCAGCAGTTGCTGGTGCTGCGTTAGTTCAACAAGCTTTTCAAGGGCTGCAAATATGACCTACATTTGGGTGGTTTGGGTAGTGAGTTGGGTAGTGAATGTATAGGTCACAGAGTACTTGTGTCTTACCTCTTGGTCATATTGACCTCCACGGAGCGTTTGGCTGTGGGTCATGGCACCGGATACCTGGATTGACCACCAGTGAACCAACCTCACCGGAGGTTAAGCTGGTGAAGACGGGGGTACGAGACCATATGATTGATTGAAGTGCTCGGGAAGCAAACTATCCATGCCGCCCCTACCAGGAGGTTGTGAGTATTGCAAAAGAAGAGCAGGCAAACTGGGGACAGCGAGCTGCCTGTTTTTGAACATTCCCACAGCACAGTGGCTCCAAACATCTCCAAACCAATGGAACAACCACCCTCACTCACACAAAAAATGAGGTGGGCCTATATACAGCTCTGGATCACTGACACCGCTTTCTATCTATTTGGCCACCACTATACTGAATTCGAGCGATTCTGAGCTCCAGTCGAGCTCCAATATAGCTAACATGGATCAGACTACCGTACTGTATAGCCTTTCGGTCACTGCACCCACAGTCTTTCAACCACTTGGCCTTTTCTTCGCGTCACGCGGTCCGGACCCAGGTCTCCTGTGGCTTCTTCACCGCGCTGCGTCTTGGTGGGAACCACTCGTTGCGGAACGAGGGGGGAACGGTACAATCCGGGTTTGGGCGGATTTCCGATTGGTTGAACTGTAAATCCTGGGGATTTGTGGCGTAATCGTTATCTTTGTCCTGTAAATCCTCAGGGAATCCCTGGGGTAATGACCTTTTTTATCATGTTTTTCCCAACCCAGATGCGACCCTGGAGCCTCCTAAATAGGAGCCGGAACCTTCATAATATGGAGGATTTTTCCATCTCAAGTCCCGGTTTAGGGCCTAGGGTGACTGGTTGGCCTGTGATGGTCTACCTCGATCGAAGGATGTGGGGCTCCTCCCTCCAACAAACATGGAAGAGGAATTCCTGGCCCCTCAAAGGAAGATGGTTTCTCCATTTGCTAACAGACCGTTCTCCACTTCCATGAGTGTGAAAGAAAGAGGGTAATTCAACAAGTTATCTATTTCACTCCTCCCGTTTGTCTTCCTCAGGATCTCCATGATTCTCTTTCTCTTCGGCGGCTTGCCTGGCTTGAGACGTAACGAGCGTTTGGAGCAAGCCTCGACATGGTCTTTAGCCAGTGGAACCGTTGCGGCCTCCTTTGCGTTGATCCTGTGGCGGTCAAAGGAACGAGTCTTCTTGGATCCTCGGACGAGCCATGCCGTGGCAGCTGGGAAACCATTTGGGTGCGGAAACACACCTATATGAGTATACCTACCCTAGGGCTCCAAGTACCTTCTCAGAAGGTGTTTGGGGTGGTCCAGATACCTTCTGAGGAGGTACGACTGGAGCCCTAGGGATATGGTTTCCCTCCTGTGACTGTGCGGCGATCCATTGAGAGCGAGGGAATGAACATGAATGAACCCCTCCCCTAGGGATCCGTTTTCGTAGCTTCTCAGGTACGCTGAGGAAGGAGACACAGTCTTTTGTAGGTGCCAGGAGGGTCCAAGTATCTTCTGAGAAGGTACTTGGATCCCCAGGGCACAATTCTACATCAAGGGATATAAAGGGTTCATCCGCTGTTGTTGTAGTCTTAGGCCACCTTAAAGCCCTTAGTCTATGATTGTTGGGGAAAGCCCCGGAGGTGGGTTGGACTTTTTTGTCGTCCACATCACATGGGGTCGTGCAGGAGATGTGTTCCGATCGCATCGAATGACAGCAGTTTCAGTTGGGCTGTTGGGCAGTAGGTCATAAGCCGTGGCAGTAGGTCATCAGCCATGCTGTTTTGTTTTCTGTTTATCCAACCGCAATGTCCAAGCCTTTGTGCCCAGGACTGCTAGGCCCTGCCATGAAATCTGGGCGTGCTCTTCTGCAGGGTAGGCTTCACCAACTGCCGGGTCAAAAAGCGTTCGATCTTTTTTGTACCATCTAAAAGACATGGGCCCCGGGCGACTAGGGGTGCCATTGTCCAGGGGCACCTTGCAATCCACAATGTGAATGCAACCGGACTATCTTGGAAAAAAGCTGGCACCAAGGCTCAACCCTTTTTTTTTGGGGGGGCATTGTAGTAGTGATGACAACTGACATTACTGTTAAATAGGAACGACTGCTACTACATAAGCCAATTATAATTTTTTGAGCACGGTTAATGTCGAGCAGCGCCCCGACGGAGTTCCTGGCAACGGATGCCCCGCTGAAGACCTGAACATGCAAACGCAGGAGCAGGTGGCAAGGAAAGAGACAGACAGATATCACAGCACCCGACGTTGCAGCCCCTGACGCTCCGAAACCAATGGTCAGGTCCGTAAAGCAATGACATGGAGAAGAAGCCATCAACCACGCAGTAGATCTGATGCTATCCGATGCTATCCATGCTGTTCAAAGCTCAGGGCCGTACAAGAAGGAAGGGCGTCGGAGCGAAGCCACAGCACCTACTGCAGCAACCTTGATCCAGCCACACAGCAACATGCAAGCACATGAGCAGGAGAAGAGCAAGGAAAGGCAGAACCAAAGGCCACAGCGCCCACCACTCTAGTCGCACTCCCTGAGGTTATATTTGCTCCATTTGTGAGGAACCAACGGCAAAGCAAAAAGTTAAGCTTCTTTTTGACCGCACCATATTCAAGTTACGGGGGGGCATGAAGAAGGGGTGCTGCAGCGACACTCTTTGTGAGGTTGTCACAGCAGTTATTTTGTGTCGCCACTGCTTGCGCATCAGGCTTGCCGTTTTGCTTTACCGATCGCAATCGGTTAAGGCCCCCAAAACATAGCCGGTGAAATTTGACATTGCCATCTACTCTAAAGCCACTGTCGTTTTCACATGTTTTCGCGAGGCGTTCTTTTGTTTGTAGACCTCAGGATTTTTTTGATGTGTTTTCCTTCGAACTTGGAATGCCACCGGCCGTTGAATGTCTTTCACCATGCCCTCAGGATCGCATTTGCATCAATCAGAAAGATCCAGACCTCAAGAAAAAGTCCATATGGAGCCTGCCGGGTTTGCTGAAGAAATCGGACAAGATGTTGGCTCTGTGGGATGACACCTGGGGTGAACGAGCCCTGGTGATGCGAAAGCGGCTGTTCATGCTCGTCGTTGTTCAACGTTTGCTTGAGACCTCTTTCTGTTTGGGTACCCGGTTCATTCTGGGGCGACAAATGTTTTGGATGGGCACAAGCACGTGACAAATGTACATGTTGTTTAAACTTAAAACAACGATTTGATATTCTTAAAGAACAACAGACAACAAACAATCTATCCCCGACACTCCATGTATACCATAAATATGCCTACATTGGGGTGGTATTGGGGGTCAATTGACCGGCATATATGGCAGACCCATGGAGTGTTTGGGGGTTGTTTTTTCCCCTTTATGTTGTTAAATGCTGATGGCGCGGTTTCGTTTGCGCAATGGGCATATTCTCCCCGATGGGCATTCTGAGGACTCTGGTGCCTTTTCGAGCTGGCAGCATTCTTGCGAAGCAAAGCTGAGTCTGAGCCTTGTCCGACAACCTTAAGATGCCAATAGTTCTCAACAGATGAATTCCTACTGCCTAGATGCATCTGAATGCGTGGGCAATGAGTTTCTTTGTGTTCCTTAAGGCCTTCCTTGAATCACCTAGGCTGTTCACCAAAATTCCGACCATCCCAGGAACAGAAGCTGGACATCAAACCCACTTTGATTGGCCCTTGTTGTGTCGCGGCTCGGCATGGATCGACCTGAAGTGCCCCACAATGAAGCCCCCCGCACTTGTAGAAGGTCGAAACCAGAACAAAGGTTGGAAGGACCCTAATTCGGCTATCCCATAGGTACCCCGGGCAATTCGGGTCCTTTTTCAGGCCACTATTAACCTCTTTGGGCTTTTGAAAGTCGAAAGCGTTTGAGATACATATTCTTGGTTGTCCTTCTGCATTCCGGTTCCCATAAGCACCACACATTTTGCGACAGTTGGTTTCTTTTGTTTTTGTTCTTTTGCTCCCCCCAAACGGTTCTCGGTAAGGTCCGAGTGGCAGCGGTTGCCCGAGTCCTGGTTCGAAAAAAGATCCTGAAGGAAACCGAAAGGTCAGACTACTCACAGCACCTGGCAGCAAACTCGGGACATGTCGAGATCTTCACCAGCACGACTGGGATGACGTCGAGTTCCGCCTCGTCGTTGCTTCCGTTCAACACCAAGAGGTCCAGGGTTTCACTGTCACCCCACCTCACAGGGGTGTCGAGGCGCAGATGGTTGTTCACCCCCACAAGTGGTGTGTGTGTGTGTGTGTGCTTGTGAAGGGCGGTGGTCTCAGCAGAAGAATGGAGTGTTGAATTTGAAGAGCGTTCCTACTCATGAAGTGTAAACAGCATTTTTGCCATATCTACAATTTGCCCAGTATATCTTTGCATCATCTTTGCCGAACAAACAGAACACCTAGTGGTGAAGCCTGCCCAGGCAGGCTTCCTCACGGTCTTCGCCATCGCCGTGCCCTTCAACACGGTTCCCAGCAACGGGCAGACTCGGGGCGTGCCGTGGACGTTCGTTCGAGCTGGACTGGGGCACCATGAAGGACGTGATGGTGATGAGCTGGTGATGGGTGCATATATTGAATATAGTCTAGTCATGCTATAGTTAGTCCAAGATAGTGGAAGTGTGGGTGGTTTTGCGGTTGCTGAATGATTTGAATATCTTAGAGCTTGGCAGGGGCGAAGAAAGACTGTGTCCAGGGCAAAACCAGAGGTGTCAGAAAGAGAACCCTCTTGCTTCTCCAAGGCAGAGGTTTGCGAGACGACCAGTCTTTCAGGATGTGAAAGAGGAAGTGTCAATGCATCGAAGAGAAACTGTTGGGTTCGACCGTGCAGGAGAAGCAATGAACAAGGGTTATAGTGGAGAAAAAGAGTAGATGGCACTGGCACCCAAGATGTCTTTATGTGGGGCTCCTTCTAAACCATAGGTCAATTCTCTGGTTCTATGTTAGCTTGCGGGGGAGTACTCTGAAACCACTGATGAGTCACTGATGTGGGATGTGGGACATTTCACCAAGCTTCTCCACCTGAGCCAGTAGCCTGAGCTGTCAAGTTTTGGGCCAGCGCAGTTGGTACACAGCAACCTCCAGGTGTACCCCAGTTGGTCATGTGTGAAAGCACACTCCCAGACACTCCATGGGACTGCCATATATGCCCACATTGGGGTGGTTGACTGGGGGTCAATGTAGGCATGTATGGCATATACATGGAGCGTTTGGGACTCATGAAACTCTTTATTCATGACCCTGTTAAGCCTCTTAAGGTCAAAGTGACTGAAGCATGCAAAGAGATCCTGAAGAGATCACTCAGAATCATCCAACAAAAAGTCATGCGTTTTTTCAGTTGAGTATGGAAAGGACCATGGGAGGCTGGAAAGGAGAGTCGCCAGTTGAGGTGGCAGTCTATGTTTGGCTTACGTTGCTGGGTAATGTCTTTGGCTTTCTGGCAGTGTGGGCGCTGCGCAGATACTTCGCCTCTGTTTCTGGACTCCATGAGGCAAGGGAAGTGGTGTTTGGGAGAAAGTGGGGAAAGATCAACTGAAGATCTGAAGTCAGAGAATCATTGCTAAAGGACCCCCTCACAAGTCAGCAGGTGTTTGAGCGGTTTTGGACATTTGTCACCTCGAACTCACCACTGGTGACCAGCTCAACCAATTAAAAGAATGGTTGACCTGGTGGCATGGTGTAAAAGTCTCACTAAGATATATTTGATATATATATATATGGTTCTTTGGTAAACACCCATTAAAGCAATAGTTCACAAAGGGGGTGTGTTTTCCAGGGTGTTTCCAAACACATTTTGGATGCCGCCCGTCCATGAGATGCAGCTCAGCAGCTGCATCTCATTTGGCCGACCTGCGAGCAGCTGAGGTCTTAGCTCTTCAGGAGCAGCTGCGTTCGGTGAGCTTTGAGCGGATACGATGCCAGTGTTGTGATCTGAATCACCAGTGGCTTAGCTGACACAGTGGCTTCGGTGATCATCACTGGGCCCGGGTGGATCCCACACAAGGCGGAAGAGCTGCTCAACGAGCGTCAGCGTTTTGAAGCGTTAGCTTGCCCACGCGTAAGTGCTGCGCACGCGTCTTCCTATACTGTAGTTGTTTCTTCCCGGTGACTCAGAGTGACGAAGAGGATTCCCCCTTGGTGAGTGCTGATACAGATTGTTCATTTCCGCCGGTTGATTGGGAGTCTTTTTGCAGGAGGATTGGGAGTCGGGGAATTGTTGTGTCGGTACAGTCCATGAGAATAGTCTTAGATTAAGATTCATTTTCATGTTGTTCGTCTGCAGAGGAGTATAGCTCATTTTTGTTGGGCTCCCTCACTTTTGGATCATCCTATGGATCAATTTGGGCAGTTTGACTATTTGGATAATATTTTTGCTGATAGGGCAGGGGCCCACTTTAGGCATCCAAGAGAGGTCCCGTGACGACGATAAATTCTAGTAGAGGAGTATCGAGATACCCCAAGAAAATCGTGTCCCTGTGCAGCGTAGCGACACCAAAAGTTCCCTAAATTCATAGAACGTTAACATTGCCTGTAAAGATTGCATTATAGAGACTAAGTAGAGGCTGTTTCTATCTATTTGGGGGGAACTGTATCTAGCACAGGCATACAGATGTTTGATGCGGAAGAACCTTTTGCCACCTAGCAGGTTGAACTTAACCCGCTTCGTTGCTTTTCCGGTCTTTTCCCAGACGCTATGATCCTTTTCCACCACCCCTGGCCCGATCAAAGGCGGCCAGTCCCGTCAAGGACTGGGATTGTTTGCAACCTATAGGGGTCGAAGACCACATTGGACTGGACTTGGTCATTTACAACGACTACTCGACTACTCGGTGTTCGGCAGTGAAACGGGTTCATCGATCTGGAACTGGTCCTGGGGTCTCCCAGCACCTGGTCCTGGTATTGGCTTTTGGACCGCCGGGTTCAGCCCGAGCTTCCTCTTCGCGGACGACCGAACCCCACCGAGGTGGAACGGCCAGGAGTTGCTGTGCGACCGGGAGGTCGTGAAGGCGTGCGTGGTGGCCTGGTTCGGCAGCCAAGAGTCCTTTGAGGAGTCCATTCGAGCGGCATCTGGGCCCAGAGGATCCGAAGGAACGACCTGAGACCGAGGCCAGAGACCGAGAGGTTGATTTCGGACATGAAAGCGATTTTCGGTGTCATCAACCTTTGATGGTTAACATGGAACCTGATGGCATGGACCTGATGTGAAGACTTTTTTTCAGGTTCTATGTTAATTGTCCCGAGTGTATCAATCCCAGACACGACCTGTTTGGGACTGCCAGTCCGGACTGCCTTCAAAACGGCCAGGGGTGGTGGTTTTGGGGGGTCTGGCTTGATCGGCAGGCTTCGACTAATGGCAGTCCCAGACAGGTCGTCTTTGGGTGATGGGTTAAGTGCCAGGACAGTCTGGTTCGATCCCGAACCGAGTTCGCTACGACCAGTGGATGATAGGGATTCTGGGTGCCTGGTTGGTGCCTGGTTGGCGGTGGATGCGTCGTCACGGTCCGTCTCGGTGGAATCGCTGCCAAAGTGCCGATGCGGATCGCTCCGGATCGGCCCAGGAGGTCTCGGACGCCGTGGTCTTTGACCTGCAACATCACGTGGCTCGGTGCGTGTGGAAGTCAGTTGGCCCACGGAACTGGTGACCCTAAGCGGTTCTAGCTTCTGAGGTTGGTACTTGGAGGTGTAGGGTGATCCAGCAGCACCTAGGAACATGTGGAATTCATGCGAAAAGGAGCCCCCGAATCCTTCATTCCGGTCCCCACTGGGTCAAACTCTGACCACGGCGATGTGGCTTATTTGTCCATGGACCAAAGAGGATTGATGGGAATCCTGTTTGCATGATATACAGCCCAGTGGATCCCAGTTACCACTATATTAGGAACCAGTGATTCTAGGTCTATGGTTTTAGTCTGTGGAGCCACTGGTTACCAGCTATAGTGGTAACTGGATGCCCTGGGCAGGATATGGATTCTACATGTTCCTAGGTGCTGCTGCATCATAGTCCACCTTGTTCTTTGTTCAGGGCTTTGGCTTCGATTCTCCCACAGTTTCAGAACATTTGGAGGTGCCACTCTCTGAGGTTTCTGGTCGACATGGGGCAAAAGTCGTTGAAATCATGACTTGCTCCCCTGTAGTTTCGAGGCGTATTTTACAGTAGTTTCGAGAAGTATAGATGGCAACTGGCACCCTACATGTCGACATGAGATGGGGGTCCATATCACCTTTCTTGGGGCCCAAACGCGCCATCGAACCTTTGAAACCGATAGGTCTCCGAAAGCGGATGCCCCGGGTGGCCCTAAGGGACCTCGAAAGTGAACCACTGAGCAGAACCAGACAGCAGAGACCTCTCAAAAGACATGTAGACATCCATGACGGGTGTGACCGGTCTATACATGCCCAGACACGACCTGTTTTGGGATTAGAACTCAGTGGATCCCAGTTACCACGAGTACTAAGGAACCAGGGGTTCATTCGGTCGAACTGGTTTTTGTTGAACTGGAACCACTGGGACTCCCAGCGACATCGTGGGCACTGCCTGGATGCCCTGGGAAGATATATATATATACCCAGAAAGACCCCAGGTCAACCACTCCTGGCCTTTTCTCAGCGCCTTTTCCAGACATCGGACCCACAGTGTCCTCGAGTACAAAGCCCTAGCGAAGCATTGGTTGGGATCTGCCAAAAAGGGCACGTGATGTTGTCCCTTCTGGGAGCAGGTCTGCTCCACCCGATTTCAACCCATCTAGTCAGTATCCTCCCAACGTCACACCCACACCACACCCAAGAGAAAACACCAGAAACAAAAAGCACACCGCCCGCCCCCCCAGCTCTCACACCGGCTGTTCTTGGCTGGTCAGACCCTTTCCTCCCCTCCGGAGGTCTTCACTCGGCGCCGCACCTGCGCTGTGACGTCGCCCCTCTTCTGGGCCTTCCTGGACCTCTCCGCCAGCTGGGCACGTGTGGGCGGAGCCGGACCTGAGCTCCACGAACACTTCACGCGAGCGGCGAGTGCGGCGGTGGAGGGGCTGAGCTTTTGGCTGCTGGTGTGTCCCATCTTGGTGGAGTATGTCCCCTGGCCCGTTCGCGCATGGTTCGAGCGCGCGCTGGTGCGCGAAGGAGAGGCGCGCGGGCGAGCGAACCACAGGCCACAAAGGCGAGGGTTCTGCGTTTAGGCCGTTGAAGCAGTGGAGCAATGGGTTCGCCTGGCCGCTGGCCGGCGAGAAACAGCATGACGAGCCCCAACGTAACTCGCGCTGTGTTTGGTTTCGTTGTACTGGCAATGATTAGCCATTTATTATTAGCTGATATTAGTAGTTAGCTCAGTTAGCTCTGTTTTTTTCATCGCTAGACATCCTTGTGCGGAGTTGTGGGCGAGGTCTTGTGTTGTTCAAGGCATGTTTTGTGCAAGAACCCTGATAGCAACGATGTGGAATTCTGAGCAGTAGATAGCAGTAGTGTTTCTTGTGTCCTGACATGATCATCTTCTGCGATCAATAGATGACCACCTTGAGATCCCTGGGGAAATCCCAATGTAGACCTTCGATAAATAAAACTCTTCCATTTGGATTGAAGCGCCTCTTCATCATGGGGAGTTTAGTGTAATCAGCGGTCACTTCCCCAACGGTTTGCTCTTGCCAGTCCCTTGTCTTTATGAACTCCCTAGTCGGGGTTCCCCTGGGTGCAGTCTCCAGAGAGTTCTGGACCAACCTAACCCAACCAATTAACATCGTACTTGCATTTGCTCAAGGTGATTTGTCGTTTTCCTTATGGGTGAATCCTCTTCCGCGGAACGAATATGAATGAACACATTTTCCCGGCTTCTTTAGCAAATCCAAGTCAATCAACCAACCTGCACCAACCACCCGGCCGTGTTCGCGCTCAGCTCGCCCTGCGATGCCCCTGCGTTGCTGAGGTGGTGTATCTCTCCCGTCGATTTTGCCGTCAAGCCACCTCTCCTATGCGGGAGGCGACGGGTCCGGAGACATTCACCCAGTGTTGCTGGATGAACCCGTATCGGAACCCCTTGAAAACGAGAGTGGCCCCAAGAGGAATGCATGGAAAGCGCACGAATTTCAGAAAGCATCCTGCAGTGTTCTTGTGCATGTTCCTCTTGCTGTGGAGGCTGTCCTTGCTGGTGTTGGTGTGGCTGGATGATTATTTAGCATCTGACATTGTCAGACGCTGTTGTCATTGAATGCTGATCTTGCTGGGTGTTCTGGGCACGAGCACGGAAACATCATTGAACTTTCTCCATCGACTTGCGAGAAGTTCTAGGAATCCATGCGTGTAATCAGACAGGTCTTAAGGAAGTGAAGCAAGTGGGTCGCCCGACTGATGGCAGGATATGTGTGGCAGGTGCCAAGAGCCCGTTCTGACAGGCCTTCTGCAATCTCGGGGTGCTTATCATGGTCTTGCCTCTTCAAGCCCTATTGTTTGGCTGCTATTGGGTGCTCTTCAGGCTTAACTTGCCACGGCTGGTCGCATGGCGATCGGATGGATTCCGGGTTGTCCACTCAATGATTCACTCACTGCTGGGTCGCACAAATAAGCTGTTTGTTCTTCGAGTCGAACGGAAAGGGATTGGACTGGTCGTTCTTTTTATGTGCAGGGTTCTGGCATTCTGGCTTGGGGGTTGCTCGGATATACTCTATATATAAATGTTAAGAACCCCGTTTGGAGGTGTCCAATTGAATGGAATCCCACAAAAGCTTCACTTTTGGGATTTGGACGTGGACCCATTCAATCTAATCGCATTCATTGTCATGGAACGATGGCAAGCCCAAACAGCATGTATAAGGGATGTGACATAAGCATCAGCGCCACAGACGACGAGACACCCTGCTGCCATGCTGATGGGAAAGCCTGCATTATCTGTGAGTCGTGGCACCCGGAGCCCGTTTCACTCGGAAACCTGGTCGGTTGACCTTCACAGTCCCTAGGGCTCCAACATGCTCCAACCAGATCCTCAGGTTCGGTGGTTAGACCCCCCTGGCACCCACCCCTGTCCCATCTTCTCTTCTGTTCATTGTCCCTCGGAAAAAAGGAACGGTCGGTTCTCAGGTGCCATGACCGGATCGTGATTGGTCCGATGCCGAGAAACCACTGCGACCAGCTTCAGACCGCACACAAACCCTAGGATCCAGTCGTACCTTCTCAGGTACGGTGATTGGAGACACTGTTATGTAGGTTTGGAGGGTCCAAGTACCCTCTGAGAAGGTACGACTGGATCCCTAGGGAAAGAAGAAAGAGCCGCCACTGAGTTTGGGTGGTGTATAGATGTTGATCGACACCCCTGACTTATGATGTATGTTCATGTATTTTCCCTCCATTGACCACCGGAACTCCAGGAGGAGCTGACCCACTGCGTTGTTTGATGTTTTTGTGCCGTTGCTGTGTTCCTCGAGGTCATCTCTGGAGTCTTCGCCGGAGAGATGCTGCTGGTGACTGCCATCTCCTCCTTCATCAAGGTCGGATGTCTCTGAAAAAGATCGCCGGGATGGGAAGTGTCCTTGCACCATGAGACCACGGCCGGTGCTTAGGGAACTCGCCCCATGGAAGACCTCCCAAAGCCAGGCCGAAGGAGGTTCTAGGACCTAGGCATCATGTGTGGGCTGGGGTGTCCTCCGGAAAGGACACCCCCAAATTGATGGTGTCAGTGCATAGCCTCGGTTTCAATGGATCAAAAGTCTGAATGCAGTCTTTAGACTGCCCATTCTGGGTGAGCATCCCCAACGGCCAAGGTCAAGGCGGCCAAGGCGGCCAAGGCCAGCTCCGCGTCCAACGGTGAGAGCACGTCAAACATTTAAAACCAGGACACACTGTCGGGGTGGTGAATGGACACTCTTTTGCCTCTAAGGAGCTACCAACGGAAGCCCTTTAGGGTGTCCATGGTATGATATAAGATGCCGTGTTCCGCCATGGTCATCCAAAGGCCGGTTGGACGGTGCCACCAGTACCGGACAACTGCTGCTCGGACACCAGGCAAGGCTGCTGGGAGCCAGGCAAGGGCCGGCTTCCAGCGCACGTCATCCATCGTCACAGCTACCTTAGCACGTTGGAGCTCCGCCTTTTTGTCAACGCATCAGGTGCAGCAAGCCCGGCAAAGGACCAAGTAGACAGAGCCTGAAACCATGGGTTTAGCGGAACTTGGTATTCGCAAAAGGATGTGTACGCCTCTTTTTCCCATGGAGGGTTTATGCTAGTCAGCAGGGGCCTGGTGCAACTGGATTTGGTGCGCCCTTTTCCTTGCAAAGTCGAGGGTTTTGCACCTTGAGACGCTGCACTTTGTTTGTCGCAGGCACTAGTCCAAATGTCAAACTCACCTTTTTATAAGACACGGTGCAGGGTCCAGCCACATCCCTTTGAGAGGAGATCCCTGAAACTTTTAGAGCCTAGACGGCGAGGCATTCCGCCGCTTGGCCAAGCCAAGCTCGCGAAGAACGCCACCGACCGAGCTCCGCAGCGAAGAAGCCCCGGACCGATCGACTGCGGTCGTCCACACGTGGCAAGTGTCGTGCACGAGTGGCGGGTGGCATGGAGTGGGGGCGTTTTTTTCCGACCATGAGAAACCATCTTGAGAATCGTCGAGCGCCTAGTTCTCCTGGTAGGTCGACCTATCATTTGGATCCGTGGTCGTAGCGGCTTCGGGATCGACCCTGCTGGCACCTACATGTCCTGAGTGTCTACACCTCACCGTGAGAAGGCTTGAGCTGAGCGACCCACTGGCCTTATCAAGGTCCGGGAGTCGACGGAGTTCTGGCTGGCGGGCGTGATTCTAGGCCCGTTCCGCGGCGCGCGCTCCGCGCGGAGCTCCGAGACCATGAAGCGGTCCGTGGGAAGTGGCGATGGGTCGGCTTGGTTCGGGTCGCCGTGGGCGTTTGGGTCGCCGTGGGTTTGCTTTTGGGATGGGATTGGTGTGGTTTCATTTCCAGGACCAAGGTTGCATGGATTGGTTCAACGGGGGCGTGTGACGTATACAATGGTTTTGGGTGCAATTGCGAAGGTGGGAGGCTAGGTGAAAGCTGCTCGGACGAATGAAGTGTTGAATAGGAGATTAAATTCAAGGTCTGCCTGAACATGCTGAAAGAAAGGGTTGCCAATCTAGGTGATTTGAGGGGTGCTGAAATACTGCTGGTAATGCAAGTCAGACAAGTTGCATTTCCGGAGACGCCAAACCAATAGGCGTTGACTGGTCTATGTCTATGTTCATTCTTCCAGCACATCGAATTCGGCCACTTTGACCTAGCTCCCGCGGACGGGTCTTCCCGCTAGGTCTGGTGGTTTACAACAACATGCCCGGCCTGGACGTGCGTTTTCCACCGGCGACTTGACGAGCCAGCAGGTGGACTTTGCCGTTCCGGGACGGGTTCGGAACTTCAACGGCTGGTTGACACATACAGCCTTGATGCCGAAAAGCACGGCTACTGATGGGAAAATGATGGGAACATGATGATCCTTTATATAAGTATACATTCTTTAACTGTGTGGTTGCATGTTGCTACCAAAGGATTTGTAGGGGTGGTCATGCCAGAGGTGTGCCAGTGTTTCTTATTGTATGCGCCATTTTCTTCACCAGGTGGTCGCTGGTGAAGGCACCCACATAAGATGCAGATGGTCAACGTCAGAGGTCACTGCGGTTGCTTAAGGTGATTTCTTATTTTCCATATATGGGTGAATCCACTTCCGGCCAATATGTTTTTCGCGGTTCCTGGACAGCAAATCCAAGGGCTTGGCAAGCGGAGCTGCGTGGTGTGGTGTGGCTCGGGCAGGGCAAACCCGAAGCTGGAGACAGCTTCTTAAACAAATTATAGGCTGTCCTACAAGCCCATTTGACTCAGGTCGGGGTCCTTTTGGGCATTGCTGGTGACATTGTTTGATAGGACATGTATATTATGTCACGGGTGCTATGTCGCATGCGATGGCCCTCCTAGGGTTTTTTTGGTTGCTCTTGTTTCTTCAAATTGGTGCTCGCACCTGCGCTAAATTAGTTGTCGGCACATGTCAGCACCTGGGATGTCAGGGTGGTCAGCACGCCTCCGAGGTGGTCTTCAAGAAGATCAAGAATGAACCGTTGGTGCTGGAAGATCTTCGCCAGGTCCACCCTGCCTCTCAGCTCTCAGCAGCTCTCAGCGGAGAAAAAACCATCACACCCTCACGCTGCCACACGATTGTCCTCACTCCCCTCGAACGCCACAAAAAGGGTCGAACATGTTGGGAGTTTCGGGTTGGTGCGCAGACATCGTCGACGTCATTCCAGACAGGTCCGGCGCCAGCAGAGGAATTTCTTTGTTCCTATCAGCTCAGTGACCAAGGTCGAAATGTTAGACTAGCTGCTATAGCTAATTATCAGTAGGTATGAACACATTTCACGCCTTTGTAGATGAAGCTCGTCTTCGAAAGGTCCAGGTTTTCATGTTTGTGCGCCGCTGAGGATACGTATTTGTCCTTGAGGTCCTTGCTCTCTTGGGAGCCTGAGGAAGAGCTCGATGAGGAGGAGGGATTTTGTGGTCCAAGTTGGAAGCGGCTCCAAGAGGAGTGGCATGACAAAGTACTTGTAGCCCGAGGGCAGTTCCAATAGGGCATACTCCGTCATGAGTCATGACGAACTTCCATGATTTCGATCACGATCTTGGCGCCCAGACAGGCAAACCAGAGAATTACTCCTTGACGAACATGCGCTAACAATGGGCTTCTTCTCATGACTGCGTATGCTTTCCGTCCGGTCGAACGAAAACGCCGGGAGGATGGATCATGTGACCCCTAGGCCTCCAAGTACCTTCTGAGAAGGTGGTTGGGGTGGGTGCCAGGAAGGTCCAGTCATACCTAACCTGAAGAGGTACGACCGGAGGTGTAGGGGACGTGATGGATCCATTTCACGCTTTGAGCGTTCCTGCTGTCCCGGCAACGGTGATCTGAAGGGGTTGCACATGTTGCACCAATTGAGCATCTTTGACCATGAAAACTGAAGGGTGGAATCTTAAAGGCATTAAAACATCATAAAACCCTCAACTGAAGAAGAACCAACAACTGAATTCAGCATGTCATCAACTTGAATCAACTTGTAAAGACGGGATGACATTGCTTTTCACCATCCTGTGCCATTGCATTCGATCACTACGTCGTTTTCACCACCACCCCACCGGACAGGTTCCGGACGTCTGCACACGCACCGGACGAGCGGGAGGAGCGGAATGCCATCTTCGAGAACACCTTCTGCTTGGATTTTGCCCCTCAAAGGACGACGGGTGGACGGACGGACGGACGGGCACGCAACGCACGCACGACGCGCGCGGTGTGGCGCGCCACACCGTAACACGTGGTTTACGCGTTGAAAAGAGCGTCGAGGTCTGGGTACGTAGATGTCTGGAAAGGAGGTCGACTCGGTTGAACCTGAAGAAGGGGGACCAAAAAAAAGGAACACGCAAACAAACACCTGTCATTGAGTTCCTTTGGTGTAGAGCCGGCAGAGCAGGTGAGTGTGTCTTTGAGACGGGATCTTTCCGTGTGAGTGATTGTGAGTGTAGAGGTTGTGGGCACCCAGTAGGGGATTGCAAGAGGGAGGGGAGGTGAAAAGCACGATGCAAGCCAGACGTCCCAAAAAAACGTGACGTTTGTCCATTTGTCACCGGTATGTATATGACATTATCCCTACGGCTCCAAGTACCTCCTCAGAAGGTATTTGGACCCTCTAAACCCACCCCAAACACCTTCTGCGAAGGTACTTGGAGCCCTAGGGTATATGACCTTCACAGCCATGTTCGATCGACCTCGTACTGACTGGATGTACCATGCCATATGTAATTGTTTCATATATAGGTGGAAATACCCACCTGAAACTGTGGTATCCCTCACCTGACTGTGCGGCGATCCATTGGGAGTGAGGGAATGAACATGAATGAACCCCCACCCTAGGGATTCAAGACTTCTCAGAAGGTGATTAGGCGCTGATATGTAGGTTTGGAGGGTCCAAGTACCTTCTGAGAAGGTACTTGGATCCCTAGGGCTAATAGCGATTCCTTTGGATGATCCATTCCCGTCCATTCCCGCATTCCTCCAAAATCGAGTCGCACAGAGGTCGGGGCCTAATCTGGCTCATGTTGCTCGGCACCTCCCCATGCTTTGTCTTGCGCAAACAAGCCGCTTGTTGCATGCTGCAACACATACCCCAACACTCCATGCGACTGGCATATTTTGCTGATCAGCCCAGGGGTGGTTCGGGCTTGGGGTCTGTTTGGCAGGGGCGGCGTATGTGAGAATGTACTATAGTTCCATTTGCCGTGATTGGGGTACAAACGGCCCAAACGGCAATGCCGCACTGAGGTGGTGACCTACGAGATGAACGGCGCCACCGAGACTCGAGAGCTTTGCGAAGGAGGCGACGTTGACGCCTCCATGGGAGGGTGAGAAATGGGTTGTGAGTGTGTTTGTTTTTCCCTAGGGGTCCACATACCTTCTCGGAAGGTACGACTGGGCCCTCCAAGCCCACATAACAGTGCCTCCAATCACCTTCTGACAAGGTACTTTGATCCTTACAGGGTTTGTATGTGATTAGATGTCAATAGTGTTTTGTGTGTGGCCGGTTTTTTGGTTGTACTTACTTATATGGTGAATCTATTTAATGTAGGTGCTATATAACTACCTAGACCTTCCAACGGCTAAAATATTCTAGTACGATTGGGTTGTTGTATTAGTTTCTGATGCTTCGATGGAAAAAATGGTAGTTGTCAGAAACGACTGATTTTTGCTTAACGGTGTGATTTGGGTACGCTCCACAGATTTTGATCCGAGTAGCCATCACCGGCTATCACACATCTATATTTAGGGGATGACTTCCGTATTTATCAACCCATCCATCCATCAGCCATCCCATTGGACGCAGTGGAAGACGCCAGTCATCATCGACCCGGCAAAAAACCGACCTTCAAGTTTTTTTGCGGCCTTCTTGATGACGATAACTGGATTAATGCCCAGCTGCCAAGTGTCTTCATTTACCTTTATCATTATATAATGAACGGCTTCGATTTCCGGTGGAATTGCAAGATGCGATGCAGGATATGTACAAAGAAATGAAAAAACTGGCTACAGGGTTGCAATAAGTTCATCCTTGGTCAATGGCAGGGATAATTCGATATATAATAAATACATTGATGTCACCACGACAAATTAGGAATTGATAAAAACATCTGTCTCTTCATGCCCAGGCTGTGACCTCTGAAGACCTACATGGAGTGGAAAGCACTTAATGTTATTCTGAGGTTTCGGAGACAGAACTTGATGAAAACCCACGACCAGTTTTACCCGCAAAACGCCCGCAAAAACCCTCAAAACGCCCGCTAAAAACTCGCAAACGCCCACAAATCCCAGAAAGTAGGTCAAATGGGTTTTTGAGAAACCTCTAAATTCGGTGAATTGCAACTCTTTTGGGCTGAATGTCATGAGTAGGATTGCCTGCTCGATTTGGACAATCTTTGGTCATACGCTGTTCGGGAGAAAATGAGTGCCTATAGTCATGTTTTCCTACGAGCATGATGTCGACATGAGTTCATTTGTTAGCACAAATGCAATTATGGTTCCTTTTGCATACTCGTATATCATTACCGTATCTTGTAGTTTTGCTGCGCTCGAGCCTGCTTATAATTCTTGGAGCTCTAGGCCAATGTCTGATCGACCAGGGATTAGTGAAAGCCGCTATTTCTTAGAGGGGTATATCGACTGCCCAAGCGATGGCAAACCCAGCTGCATTTGATTTTGCCACATGTTTTGGGCAAGCATAAGAGATCATACTTTTGAACTCCCGTGAAACCGACCAATCATCATCGTCATCATCATCATCCTCATCCTCATCCATCAGGCATCCAGAGGCCACGGGGAGGGCAGTGTGTGACCATGCACGACCACTCTTTGTTTGAATCGTATGTGCTCGACCACTTTTCAACTGATCGTCACCATAAAAGTAGTACAAACCACATCGACCAAAATATTTTGGGATTTTGAAGGTCTAGGTATATACAGGTTGCTGCACTATGCCAGTGGATGAGGGGATGTAGGATCTATTAAACTGGAACTGGGTTGTATTCTTCCAGCAAGTGGGTTGCCATTTGGTGAACACAGCCGTTTCGATGGTCGCAGATCTCAGCCAAGCGGCCACATGTGTGTGTGCGCGCGCCAACAGACGGAGCTTTTTTGGCAACATCAGACGGAGCCAATGATATAATTTGTTACTACATCTCATAGACATCCAGAGAATTCCAAAGATTACTTGAAGTAGGTTTTTGGTGTTCACCTTGGCATCCAGGAATTCTGAGATCAGAGTACTGGTTTCTTCGCACAAGGAGTGAAAACGGGTTGGGCCGTGGACTCGGTGAGTCCGGCAGGAAAAGATCGGGTGGTCAGCTACAAGAACCGAGAAGAGTTCGTCCGGCTCTACTGCCACCCGGCTCGGAGGGAGCGAACTGGAAACATCGACCTGGGTCGACACGAAAGGCAGTGGATGACATGTGGCCAACGTAAAGACTGCTTGTGACTTCCAGCTGTCCGCTGGATATTCAGATGAACCTTCAGGAACCTGAATGAGCTGGTAGGTTGGTGAAAGAATTCACCACGATTGGGCAGGCTTCTGCATCTTCTGCAGCTCGTTTTCTGTTTAACACACCTGCTCCCCGTGTGTTTGCACATGCGCTGGGTCCGCTGGTCGGTGGGTCGTTCCAGCGCTCCGTTCGCGCGTCCCGGTGCGGCCCAAACGGGCGGATCCGAACCTGAGAAAGTGTGAGTGGGACTGGGGTGGGTGCCAGGAGGGTCCAGGTGCCTTCTGAAAAGGTACGACTGGCTCCCTAGGGCTAAGACACCTCCATGTCTTGGAGCCACTCACCACCCAGGCCTTTCACTTTGGTCTGTCCCATGACCTGTAAGAAGCCGTCGGGAGTGCCGTCGGGTTTCACAAGGACATCAGTTTTTGAGAGATGGGAAGGCCTGCAACATCCTGCAACCAGGCCCGATCATCAAACTGTTCCTGACAAGCAACGTTAAGTCGGACAGACCCAACCAATACGCCGTACTTCGACGAAGCTTATACGCAGCCTAGGCGAGTGGCTCTTGACTCAAAGCGTGGAGCGGCAGTTCGAACCCTTCCGCAAGGGCGCCGAACTCAGCGAACTCAGCGTTTGGAGGAAGGTGGGAGGCTCACATGTAACACAGTGTAACACCACATGCAAGTTACTAGGTGCACCATTAAAATACGTCATGGATGTTTAACAACACTTTGCTTGGTGGCGCAGGTTCAAGAAACCAGGAGCAGCTGAACGGTGATCATTCAACGCATTTTTTGCCGCCCTTCACAGGGTGGGCTGGAGCCCGCTCGAGCCCTTACACTCCGTGGAATCGAAAGGCGGTGACCATGAAATCCTCTACAAACAGGTATTAAAATAGGGAGACCTCCCAGGCAACGAGGCATTTTCCAGGGATTTCGAGGGACAGAACATCATGAACATATGAACCAATCCGAGAAAAATAACATAGACCAGTTCCCTAGTTTGGGGTTTGGATATCCCATATATATGCGATCATATGCGATCTTCTCCACGTAACCATGGTGAGGCTACCGGTGGTACCGAGGCGTGCGACGGGTCTGCGACTCGCCGCTCTTCAACGCGCTGCACAGTGCAGAGCTGGAGCTCATCGTATGTGGCCACTGGGGTTCAAACAGGACCTGGGGCAGAGGGGCAGAGGCACAGGCGCAGGCTGTGAGGTGAAAGGAGGGGAATGTGCTTAAAGATTCTATAGAGTATATATCCAGTACAGTAGCAACTGTGTTTGTATATGTTTGTATAACGGATTGTTTTCCTGAATGTAGATGGTATGCTTAGCTGCTGGAGTTTCGAGCTATCCCGGACCTATGTTGGTCCAGGAAGTCAGAACAATCAGATCTTTGAATCCCAATCGTTCGCTGCCAGTCTCGCCCGGGCTCGGCCATACATCGGTCGAGGTCGTGCCCACCTCCCACCGAAACAGCGCCCCCCGAAACAAGAAGTTGTTGCGAAAGAAACTCGTCCAGTTAGCTTAGTCAGTTCTACAAGCACAGTTATACTTCATATAGACCTTTATGCACATTCCCCTCCCACTGGAGCACCACGAAAGGCGAGCAGGCGCTGGACTTCGCCCAGCTGCGCAAGAATGCCCATTACGACGGCTACCAGGCGACAGACGAGTGCTCCATGGAGCGTTCTGGACGTGTTTGGTCCATGGCATGACTTGGTTTTGCTGAAGTTGATTTGTTATTTGCTCGATCTGGGCAAATATGCATGAGGGACATATGATTTGTTTTTTGTCCGGCTCCTTAAGCAAATCCAAGATGACTATCCTGTGTTCCTCTACCCACGGACCCACGGTAGTTGAGTGTACGGACACTCCGAATCACCACTTTTGGAGGCTATCACGGGCTATCAATAGACACCCCAATCCTGGGGCCCTGGTATGTGAGTCCATACCAAAGGTGGTGTGAAACCATGGTAGATCACGTGCCGTGTTTGGCTCACCTCACTCCTTTTTGAGAGTGAGCTTGCGGGCACAGAACACTGACAGTGCACGGAAGACGAGTTTGCTAGTAGCTTGTCAAGATGAAACAACACGTATAGACTGAATACCAGGCTCCTTCTGAAGGAACAGGGCCACCGCACAGGCGAGCGCAAGCTCGAATCCGTCCGTGCTTGGACTGGTGGTTTCTGGTGACGGCTCCGCTCCGATTCTGCTGACTGATCGACTTGTAGAGGAAGATTCCAGCTACATCGATTCCTTCTGGAAGTTGCTCATGAACTTTGACCTAGCTTCTCGGGCCGGCGCTTGGAGACGGTGGGATGCTGACGACCATTTGGGACTGTACAAGGATCTGTGCTCTCCTTTTTTTTGCAGAACCTCCCCCATGGTTCATGTGTGTGTGTGGGTGTTTTTTTGTATGAACTTCGGTACCAAAACCGGGGGATTGTTCAAGTCCATAGACTGGCACCCGTCCATAAGCCGCCCAATGTATGCAATTGCTTTTCTATTGCTTTCCTGGCAGCCTCTGTTCCTTTCCTACTTTTGTGATGAGTTGCTTGCTCTACTTTTGGATTCTGTGGTTATTGAACGTTCTTTGCTTTACTTGTTTTCTTTTTTTTCCGAGCAGGAAGGGAGAGAAGAATGACAGAGTTTTTTCTTATGATGCACTTGGGTTGTCCCTTCAGGTGAAAGAAGCACTTGTCCCATGTTTGTTCACCCTGTGGCCTTTGGTTAAATGTACAATTGCCTTGGGGTGATGGCGTGTGGCATGTGATGGCTCCAAAATCTCAGCCAACTCCTGCTCAAGCACTTTCGCGTTCGTAGTTTTGTTCTTGGTGAATTCTAAGATGCAATCTATCTCATGGAAAGGTTAGTTCACTAGCTCAGTAGCCTTGGGCCTAGATCTCTATACATTTCAAAGTTGGCAACAAAGATTCTGAAGACCCAGCTGCAAACGTGGCTGGGCAACATGGCTTGCGCAAAGAAGGGCAAACTGGACTCCATCGAGACCATCGTAAGTCAAAAGAAGGGGCAAGTCGGAGGAAAGTTGCAGGAGACGTTCCAGGTCCCGGAACGCCGCAGCTTCAGAACGAGAACTCGTGAGTTTTGCTGGGCAGATTTGGTCTCCGGCTTTCATGAAGCCTGCACAGACTACAAGCGAGACCGAGTAGGCCCTCACGAGGTGCCAGTGGAAATTACTCTCGGTCGCGCCCTGGCGTTGGATGACCCAATTGGCCAGGTCTATGGAGGTGAAGCTCACCACTTTCCGCTGAAACATCCAAACTACGCCTTCATCGGTGCTCGCCATCAACTTCGACGAGTACACCTTGCACTCTATAAGAAGTACAAGTACCTTGATTATGACAAGGATCTGACCATCTTCTCTTCAAATTTGTTGGCCATGACGGAGTCGGAGATGAAGACCTATGCATTGCTGATCCGTATGTTAGAGAAGTTCTATTGGAAGCGCTTGCTGCGGCCCGAGGTTGACGACGAAACTCATGGGCAGCAACGCAGTCAGGAGCAGGCCCGTCAGGTGCTGAGGAGCTATCGGCATTTTTGCCCAGTCACCTTTGCCGCCCTGAGGCAACGAGGCTTTGAGGAAAGTCTCGTGAAGATCGTAGATCAGTGGTTGCGGAGTTTCTTCTGCTTTGGTTGGGATCCCCGGCCGCAGCACATGGGAAACTTTCAGAGACTCATTAAAGTGCTGTTCAAGGTGAGAGTGGACGAGAGTGACCCTTTTCGAGATCTGCGGCGGATTTGCGTGTGCTTGCTGATGCAAAACTCGGACAAGCTCTTGGAGGCCTGCGATCAACGAGCAAACACCAGGGACTTGGAGGCGATCGCCAAGCGAATAGTGCTGGGCCGCAGCTTTTTCCAGGTGAGCATGGTCCAAAACTGGTCTTTACATGAGCAGTTAAGGGCCCGGACAGTGGCCAGGACACAAGAGCAGTGCAAGTAAAACTGTGAGTTGCGTCAGCAGTGCGTAAGCATGACTATGTTGAAGGCTTTGTGATGTTCTTTTTTGGTAATGCATTTTCATACTATAATTTACAGGATCCGCTTTGGTGAATTGTTTGCTTAGATATGGTTTTGTGCAGTTCATTTTCTGTGGCCGTGAGAGGCTTTCCAGCATTGTGCACGCACGTGGCATCATTTGATATGTGTGTTCCATCGATCTTGGCCAGAAATTACGCGAACGTGCACGTGCGCATAGGCCGCGCGTAAGCGATGCGTAAACAATTTTTTGTGTTGTGCATCCTAGTCCACAATGGCGCCCCAAAAGAAGCAATTTTGTGATATGTCGCAGAAACAGCAGCAACGGGTCGTGCAGAATGTCGCTGACAACTTCTTTTACCTATTACATAATAAGTAAGTTCATCGAGTTTATCGTTTGAGTCTTCTCTTTGAAATCCTTGCAAGAAAATGGTGTGTAAGCTGCGGCTGTGACGGCGGCTTTGCGAAAATGCAAATTCAATCAAATTCAAACAATAATAAGCACTTAAGCGTAAGCAAAGTGTGAGCTCTTACACACAAGGCTTGCAGCGGAAGCAGAAACTGTGGTCGCATAAGCACTGCGTAAGCAGACCCTTACGACCACACAAATGTGTGGTCCATGCTCAGGTGTTGGCGGAGATGAACTGCAGTGACATGGGGTTCAGCACTGGAGACTTGGTGGCCTTCCTGCCCCTGGGGGTCGTCGGTGGCTGGTGCAGCATGCTCGAGCTTGACAGCGTGCTGCCAGGCTCGGGCCTTGTGATCCCGGCGGCCTGCGCTTGCATGGGCCTGGCGGCTGTCTACAAGGAGGGCTTGGGCACGCTTGTGTCCAAGTTCTGCAAGCCTCCAAAAGATGTCATCAGGGGACCATTCTTCGTGGAAGAATCCGAAGAAAAGGATGACGAGGATGAGGCTGATGAGAGCCTGGAGGTGAACCTGGACGAGGAAATCACCTTTGAATTCCTCTTGGGCTACGGGCAGTGGCAGACCGGCTTGAGGCTCACCTACGACGCTGTCATCTCAATGGAACTGAACCCACCTCCTGCACCCACCTCCTTCGTGATGCAGCAAGCCAACTCTTACAAGTACCAACACTTCCAGAAACAAGGGGAAGTTGGTCAACAGTTTTGGGGAGGCGGAGGTTGGAACTCCAAGCGGCAAGGGTGGAATACGCAGAACTATTATTGAGAACTGCTGAGCGTAATTGGCGGACCATTTTTAGGCGCACTCCCAGGACCTCCTGCGCTTGCGAAACGCATTTCTGGAAAGTAGATTTTGAGGGGAATTGACGCAGGTCACACAACTGAACATCATTTTGTGAAGTTGCCAGGAG